CAACCTTTGATGGCATCTCTCAAAATCTTTATGGCAAGATAGGTTCATGGAACAAGTCCAAATTATTCCGATCACTCTTATGAATATTTTCTTTGGCATCTAAGAGACGTCTTGGATGCCCAAGAAAGCATTTGACCGTGTGGAGTGTTGTATTAATGAGTTTTTGTGGCAAAAGATTGATAATACCGAAGGCCATCACTTGATTTCTTGGGACACGATTATGCTTTCAAAGTTAGATGGAGGATTGGGCGTTCATGACCTAGCCACATGTAGCTTAGCTCTTCAAGCTAAAAGGGTATCCATGTTGCTGAATCAGGAGTCTAATCTGTGAGTCAAAATGGTGATTGCCAAATATGACACCCTCTCTCCTTGGTATAGCCTAATTCTTCTAATGTTAATTGGTGTTGGCGGCTTTTTCTTTGGGCTTTGTTGCCTTTTCAGGAGGGTTTTTCTTTTGTAATCGGTGATGGTTCTTCAATTGATTTAATGTATGATAGTTGGTTGTTTGATATTTCTCTTTCCTTGAAGCTTTTGTTTTTTAATATGGAGTACTATTGCTTTAAGAATGTCTCGGTTTCTAGTTTGATCAAGAATGGTTCTTAGGAGACAAATATGATACTACATTTATTCGGATTAGTGGGTGAACATGCGATTACAAGGATTGATATTTTCCCTAGTCCTTGTGATGATAAGAGGATTTAGAAGGCAGACTTCAAAGAGCAACCATCAACTAAATCTACATATAGGTATTTGAGAAATCTCTAGTGGCACTGGTTTGGTTTGAGTGAGGTGTATTGTCATCCCTAGAGTGCAGGAGTTTTGCAGGAAGCTCCTGAATTGCAAGCTTCCTACAACCAGGGGACTAGCCATCTTCGGTATTTGTGATGTTAAAAGCATTTGTGCTTTATGGATAAGGCTTGGATGTGCAGGATCATTTATTCTTCGAGTGCAGGTTTGCTTATGAGGTGTGGAGTGGATTGGAAAGGAAGTTGGGTATATCCTTTGAGCATAAGAATGAGTGGAGACTTGGGTGTTTGGTTGAGAGAGGAGGACAGCCTTTACTAAAACCAGTTGTGAACTTTTGAGAGCCTTGAGTGTTTATTGCATTTGGTTGATCTCGAAGGCCCGTAATGAAGTCACCTTCAATGGAGTTCAAGGGGTCAGCTTACTCCACTATGTGCATAGTTTTGGCTTATATATCATGTTGTAAACCATTGATTCTGTTTAAGGGATATTTGGGTAATAATTAATTGCTTCGATCCTGGTCCAAACCTAGAAGAGGATGAGTCAAACTTAATTTTGATGGTGCTTTTAATGTGCATGAAGGCATTGGCAAAGTTGGGTTTCACTTTAGAAACGAAGCGGGGAAATGCATGGTGACGGGTCGCTTATATTTAGTAAAGACCACCTATTGGAAATCAGAGTTGATTGTGATTAAGTGTGGGATGGAGCTTGCAATTGAGGAGGGTTGATGGTTGAGTTGATTATCAAATTCTTTAACAAAGAAGAGCATCCTCCATGGAGTTTAGTAACTGTTTGGGATTTATTTGGTCTCCTATTTTAAGGTTTCAAGGATGTATGTTTTTGCCATGTGGTTAGGGAAGGGAACAACAATGTTAATCGGTTAGCACGTTTTGTGGAGGATGGTTTGGCCACCTGAGTATGCCTTATTTTTTGTGTTCCAGGGAGCATGGTGTAGCTTTTACTAGATCTATTAAGTAATATAGTACTTTCTTTTGGAGAAAAAAAAAAAAGGATTAAGAAAGTAAGAGGTGCTCCAGCTTTGTTGGATTAGTTCGGCCTTCACCTTCTCACAATTTCCCAAAGTGGTACATGCAAAGGGTATGGGGGGTGTAATCTTCAAGTAGGTGCCTTCTACATGTGATAGTCATCTTCACTCGTACTATATTAGATTGGTTGAGTCTAGTGTTGTATTATTTGGAATATAAAATAAAATATTTTGATATTATTAATGTCAGAATTATTCGTCAATTCGAGTCAAGGAGTTGACCTGATGTAACCAAGATTGTTGCATCATAATATTTGGGATCTTTGGAAAGACGGATGATTTATCAAGTTGATTTTACTCAAGACTAGTTCCTATCATCACAAAAGTCATCTACGAAACTAGTATTGCAAGTATATATGAGGTAACTGTTAGATTTTGTAGTACTTTATAATTGGATAAGATATATATAATATAACTAATTTGATTTTATATATATATATATATATATATATATATATATATAGCTAATAGAAAAGAAGTTCACTTAAAATAAGATTTGTTAAGAGATACCCTTTGCTCTCACCTATAGATAGACAGAATCTTTAAGGACTGGAAATAAGAAGAAAGAGGTTACGCATATAGAGGATTCAGTTGAGATATTACAGTATCTCTCTCAACTCTTCTCCCTAACCATCAATCTAAGTAGTTCTAAGTGATCTTGTGAAAGGATAGGAAGAGAGAGAAGGATCTAGTTCCTCTGCAGATTCATAATGATCTTGGATAAAAGATAATGCTTTTGCATATCAAATAGAGATCTCTTTTTTAGATGACATTAAAAGGTACACATCGTGAAACCAGATCTAATTCTTTGATTTCAATCCTAACAAAAGATTATTTCTTTATTTAATATAGCATATTACAGATTTTATGCTAACAATAACGACTTTGATACGATAAGTCAATTCTATCTTATACGATAATTAAAAATATATTATTACTAATTATAAAATTAGATGAAAATATTCATGCAATAAAAAATATTTTAGAGAATATTTTAGTCCCCAACTCGTGCTAATATGGTTGTTTTAATTGAGCTATGTTTGTTGAGTTTGGAATATCATTTGCCCTCTTGCTTGATTTTTCAGAAGGTCTATTCATGCCAAAGTACAATATTGTCTCGAGAACTCGACAATTATAGCTTGTATTAAAATTCTATTAAAAAGTATCTCAGGGATTTTTGAGGTCACGTTGATGTAGGACGATTAGCAATTGAATTTTTTTTTATTCGACTTGAAAATAATCTTCTTCTTTCGATAATAGTGTTTGTCGTAGATATTGACATGTTATAGCTTATGATAAATATGAATAACCCATAAATTTATTAAATTTATTTAATAAGAGATAAACCAAATTGCATACTAACTTGTCCTAAGTTTATAGGAAGGAAATATAGATCAACGTTGATGATAGAACACATTGACTAAACTAAAAGGTTTGATATCAAATCTATTGTAGGAGAACTAGCAATCGATTTTTTTTCTATATTAAGATAATAGAAAGATATGAAAGATAACCGATAGAAAGATAATAGAAAAAACATTCGCTCTATCTCAAGGAAGAACGAAGGTATTGTATCTTCTCATATGTTGCACGTGGATGATAGAATCATGTTATTGAAAAAACTCGAATCACTCACACATAATATTAGAAAAAAATAATTTATTAATTCATTCTCAAAAGATGCTCCATCATAATATTTCGGCTCATTTTAATAAGCCCATATAATAAAATAAATCAATTCTTCCTTGTTGGCAAGGAAAAAATATTTTTGATTGGACTTGAAAATAATGTTCTTCTTTCAGTGGGATGATAGACCTTATTCTAGATGTTGCAACTTAAGACATGTGAAATAACCTCTAAACTAATTAAATTTATTTAAATAAAAGATAAACTAAATTTGTTTTATATCACATAATATGATATAGGACAAGTAGCGACAGATTTTCTTCTTTTTTTTTTGACAATAGAGACATAGAAAGAGAGGGAAAAAAAGGATAATAATGAAGAATAATAAGAAAAAAAACTGAAAACTATCTGGTTCGTGTGACCTAAGCAGAAAACTCTTAGAATCAAGACTTTGCACCTCCACATGTCTCACATGTAGACGATAAAATCCAACCATCAAAAAAACAAATTATGATCTCGCATTGCTAGCACATAATGTGAGAAAAGAACTCAATATATTGATTTATTTTTTTTGATGATACTCCATTATAATATAATAATAAAAAAATATAATTACATCAAATCAAATAAATCATTTTTTTTTCCTTCTTGGAAGAAATAATATTTTGGATTTTACTTGAAAATAATATATCCTTTTGATGACAAACTTTGATATTTATAGAAATAAATCTTCACAAGATCTTTCAATCAAGATTTGTATTTTTTTAATCACAATCATAATTTTATTTCTTCTGTTCTGTCTCTTTTTGCTCCTTGAGTGATTTATGAAACTAGATTAGAATTATTTTAGATATTATAATGTGACAACTTATGATTATGACATGTGAAACAACTTCTAAACAATGTTAGGTCCGCACAAAATGATCTTTCCATCTTAAAGTTTCGAACTTAAATGGGATCTATAGGAGTTTCTAGGTATATAAGAGGTGACTATAGATGTTCAGACAGTGATTCACAGTGGCCCGAAGTATAAGATGCCACAAATGGGAGACTTTCTTAGACAAACATTATATTCTGAAATTTATAAATTGTTGATATAAGGTTAGTAAGCATTTGACAATTGCTGGTTGAAAACTAAGCATTTGACAAATGAGACTTTGACCGGTTAATATAGGTTTTAGTTTAAAAAGGAAAGAGCAATTGGTGCCAAAATGTCTCAAATGTAGGTTTCAGTTTGCTGCTGCAAATCATAATCTCAGTTAGAAAAAAGAGAATATATATATATATATATAAATATATATATATATATATATATATATATATATATATATATATATATATATATATATATATATATATATATATATATAAAA